GGAAAACCGCCACATTTAAATTTATGTTGATGTTGCACATCCAAATCGGGCGTTACTTTCTGTGGCGACTGAACATGTATAAAGTTATAAGATTTACCAGTCATTTATCTTATGTACTCGCAACGAGTTACATATTTGGACACGTTTAAAATTACATGTATATAGCAGATTATTTATTGTGTTAATTTAATACGCAAAGACGGACAGAATTTATCATTTTAGATAAAAATATACATGTAGTTTTTCATTACGCTCTGAACTAAAAATAAAATATTTTTTATTAATTCGCTAATTATTCTTTTCAGGTTTTGCGGTCTTTAATGCATCTAAAGCTTTTTCGCAAAGCTGATCTATACCGTTATCTAAAACTACATTTTCTAATCCATTACTAGTGTCGTCCTCTTCTATTGCTATTTTACCAATTGAACTTGAGCTTTTTTGAAACATCTTACAATCTTCCCTAATTCCATTTACAAGATACTCAATGCAATACTTGCATTGGTAGTGATTGGAACCGGGTGAATGTAGGTGGGTCAACCCATGGGTCAGACCCATCGGTTAACCCATTGATTAGTTCACCATTGATTCTGGAATCGACCCAATAAAATATGTGTTATACGATTACGATTATGGCAAAAATCATGGATGAAATAATTATTAGTAATAGTGACGCGCATTAAGATCAAAGATAATTATCAAGTACAAGTAACTAGTTCATGGGAATCACGTTGGGTGTGCGAAATTCTATGTGGATCAAATTTTTAAAGTATCGATCATTATCGTTATTATTTACGAAACAAATATTATATACAGTGGGAACACCATAAACCATCAACTTTTTTTGAACGGAAAAAGAATTTGATATTCTATTAGTATGTTATTTTGCATTATATAATGATACGAGTAATGCTACTAATAACGGCAAATTTCATAATTCAAAATTTATAACTCATCCCACAAGTAAAAATTTAAAAATGCAGCCGCGGCAAATATTAGCCTGGCTTCTGATCAATCATTTGTTGCAGTGGTTTTTTTTTTTAATTAATATTCTAGCCAGTTATAACAATTTTTAATCACAACTTATGGCGTTCCCCACTGTATGAGTCTAACCGCAATCATTCAACCAATCACATAATTTTATATAAGAATTCCAGGTGTATCTGTCGATCATCCGGGTGATCCGTGGGTTGAACCTTCGGGTGATCCGAGTCGCATTTTTTTTGAACGGGTCCAATCACTATGCATTGGCTATTTAATTGAAATAAAAAGCATTCGAAATGGTAAGTATGACCACAAATTAATGTACAACCTCCTCGTATAGTCTTCTAAATCGCAATATTTATCTTCTTTAGGAAGACGTTTAGTACTCCATGCCATACGCAATACCCTAGTGTTGGAAATTTATAATGTTTCGATTTTGAACTTGATCTCATTGAAATAGTTGATTTGCCTAAATTTTGATAACGATAAACATTCGTAAAAAGATTCAATAAAAAGAGTGCAGTTCTTTTTTCAAGATATTCTAGCTGTTTTGCTGAATATCTGATATTATGATCCGAAAAGTCTACAAAAGTATCACGCATTTGATCTACTGTCCGTGCTTGTCGAATAATCTGTTCTGCCGTATTAAATTTCTGAATTTGATGTCTAAGTGAGCTACGGAAATTCTCTACATCGATAATCATTAAAAACATGAAGAGATTTAGTAAAAACTTGTGCGATAGAGTGATTAGTACTAATCCAGTAAAAAGTGTCACTTAAATGCCAACGGTAGCTTATTATAATTTTGCGATGATATTGGTGAAAAATAGTCCAAATACGAAACATAGCTTCTTGATAGACTGGCTTATTTCCACTACTTGGATAAAAATCCAAAAATAGTGGGATTACATTGTTTAAAAGATTAATTAAATATCTAGCCTCAGGATCTTTAAACAATTCGAATTTTTGTAATACTATCGATTGTATTTGAGACCTGCCTTGAGTTGCTAATTCCAATAAAAGATTAATTTTATAAGATCTTGACTTTTTAGCCAATATCTTCTTTTGTCTATAAATCTCATAAAAAGCTTGTCAAAAATTATAATTGGCAAGAAACACAGTTTTACAGTTATTTAAGAATATATGTAAAGACCCGATCATTGACATGATATGAAGAACTTGTTCCAATATACCAGAAGAATTTCCAAGTTTAATTTGATAATTGATATTAAGCTATTTCAGATAGTTTATAGGAGCCACTAGTACTTGTACTTCTAAATAAGTTTTTATTTCTTGAACATTTGTCAAGCTCCTAAAAGCATTCACATAATCTTTAATCAAATGAAAAGATCTTTCTATTAATTAATTAGTTTTGTATTCTCCATACTTTGATCTATTTGATACTCTTTAATTTTGCTATTATAACTAAATATTGAAAGATATTTAACTTATTTCTTATGAGTTTCTGATATAGATATCAAATCAATAAACACATACTTTTATTCTGTATAACTTATCTATATAATAAAAAAAATAAGTGAACATTCTGAATAATAATATTAATATAATTATGAATATTTTTGTTTTTATTAGGATTATCAAATAAAATAGATCAAATTTCTGGTAAAACTTTTAACAAAGTAAAAAATATTATATAAAATTATATTATTATAGTAATACTTATAAATATATATATTATAAAAATTCTCTATATCAAATTAAGTATTATATAATATAAGTTATTTAGTTTAATTTTTTTAATAAAAAAAATTTACTTTGTAAAAATAAATAAGATTAATTATATAAAAAAATTATCTAAATACTATTAAAAAAATAAAAAATATTTATATATCCAGTTTAGATCTTATAATATACAAAGTTTAGCACTTAAAATTTAGATTCAGAGTAAATAATATTATTATTTAATAATATATACTTTACCTTGAAAATATTTAATATTTTTTCTGTATATTATTATAATTATATTATAAAAATTATTAATTCTATAATTTGTAATATTTTATAAAATTATAAAAATCATGTGAAAAACTTAAAATATCTTTTTAATTATCTTATATTATTAATTATTATACTTAAAAAAATAATATATATTATATAATATTAAATTACTATAGAAATAATCTTTTTTTCTTTTAAATAAGATTTTATTACATTTGATTGACTAATTATTTTTAATTATATGGAAGGTGAGATTTTTGAGATTTTTTTTCTTTTTCTTTAATAATTATATAATATATATTATTTTTTTATTTTTTTAGTTTGTATTATTTTTATTTTTATATTATTAATTTATCTCATTATTATTTATCTATTTTTTTATTTTTTTATAATTTAAGTAATCTATACTTAACAATTTGTTTCAATTTTTAAAATTTGACTGGTAACTTTGTTCTTTATAATAAGTTTTATAAAGTTACCAGTCAAATTTTGAAAACTTTATTTTTATATTAAGTTAAAGATTTTAAAAATTGAAACAAATTATTAAGTATAAATTACTTGAATTATATTTATTTATTTATTTTGATAAATATATTTTAATCAATTATAAATTTCTAAAATATATATTTATTATTTATTATTTTTATATTTTTTATATTTAGTAAATTGAAACTCTTATTTTTAGTTAGTATATTTATTTTTTATATTTTTTTTAATTTTTAACATTATATTAATATTAATAAAAAATATATAAATATAAGTTATAGTTATATTTTAACTCAATATATCAGAACTTGAAAATAAATAATATAATAAAACAAATATCTTTTAATACTTAAATTTTTTGTCTTTTTCTCTTAATTATATATTTCAAAATTTGTAAACAAGTAATTTTGAATTATATTGAACTAATTAAAATATTGTTATTGAATTATTAACTTAATATATATTGTTACCGTTCTTATAGTGATAGGCAAAG